CAATAAAATTCCACATGCCAACCTCAATGAATAGAAACACATGTAAGAGATAAGCTAAAGAAATGGGCAACATCACCAACACCAGCTATAACAACAGCAAGAGAAGGAAATATTGGTTCAAGCTCAAGTTAATCTTGACAATGGATGAGGAGATAGCAGAAGTTCTAAAACCCTTAAGCAATTTCTTTCCCTCGTTAAACAGAGTATCCAAAAGGGACGGAATCTCTGAACATAAGAAAACACTTTACAAAAGCCAAGCAAAGCAAGTGAATTGGTCCAATAAAAGCTAAGGAGGTTTGAAATTCCCATGTAAAAACTTCTCACATCTCAAAACCAATCCCAAAGATCAACTCAATTAGTTCTAAGTCACTACTAACCTTGATTTTTCTTTATCTGAATTCAAGCGGAAAACCCACCAGAAGAGAGAGCTCAGAAGAAACCCCAATTGAGAGATTCAATTTTTGCAACAAAGTAGATCAAATTCAAGGCCTTGGTCCTGGAGTTTGTAAAACGCAATCACAGCCTCTGCAGTTGAACACACACAGAAACAACTAGACTATTAAAACCAAACAGCCAAAATCAAACAAACGAAGCAAGATTCAGAACTATAAGACACACAGAAAAAAAAAAAACCCATCTCGGTCTCACAAACCAACAACCAAAGAAATCAGAAACGAAGAACTGAACCCAAATTCAGTACCCACGAGAAAGAAGAAGCAGAATTGTACAAGAGCAGTGAAAACCAAAACCACGCATAGAGAAAAAAAAGAGCAGAGGGGGAATTTTGAGTGTACCCGAGAATTAAAGTGACGCAGAGGGCGTCGAATGATAGCTTGGATTTCAGAGCACAACAGAGACGTATGAGAGCGGTGTGTATGAGTTTCAGAGAAAATAAATAAAATAAATTCAGAAAATTCCTTTTTTTCTTTCTTTTAGTAATTAATAAGAGGCAGAGCGAGTGTGAAAGAGAGAGAGAAGAAAAAGATAGAAAGATAATAAAAAGTGTTTTTGAGATAGAGAAGTCCAGAAAAACGAATCTGCTGCCGCTGCCATGCAAAAGGCATTACACAAAGACAAGAGATCAGAGTGGATTGTGGGCCCCACTTACCACCCTTAACAGGTTTTTTATTTATAATTTTTTAATTATATAAAACCTTCCCATGAGATCTGGAGACCTGGCGTTCCTAAATTAAACAGGTCATTAAACAGTTGGCTGAAAATAAACCTATCAGCAGATGCGCGTGGCGTGAGACCTAAGCACCTTGCTGCTTGGTGTCACTCTTATCCGACGTGTATCTCTGTCCTATCAAATGAATTGTAACTTCCTTTACAACTAAAGGCTGACACTAAAGTTGGGAAATTTTGATTTTGATTTTTTTTAATACAAACAAGATTTTAAAATTAATCTAATTTACAAAAAAATTAAAAGATTCGAACTTGAATGTAAAAAGTTGAATTCATTGCCGTGACCAATTGGTCTAAGAGAAGTAATGGGTGGGAGCAAAGTACCATTACACCCATTTTCACATTTGTGTTTAGTTTTTATTTTTTTGATATTTTTTAGAGAGGGGGAATTATATTGGGTTGCCTCAAGATTATCTCTTATATGAATCGAACACTGATGCACTTGGGGAGGGAGAAGAGTTTAGCTACTTTTTCACTGTGGTGCGATATGTGCACATTTGTATTTAGGTTGATCGATGGAGATTTGATGAAAACTATATTGGGAATAGTTAATGGTATTAATATTGGTGATAGTACTATAATACTTGGGTTGATATTTTTATAATGAAAAGTATTTTGAATAGTTGTCAGAGGGCGGCGATTATTTTGAATACTTGAGAATCAAGATCGAATCTTTAAAAATGGGATGTAATGAGGAGGAAAGATCATGATCACGACTTGATCGCCAAGCAAGTTGACTCCCCTCTACAAATAAGTCTCCACTAAAAAGAGGAGCTATAACGTTGACATCTCTCTCTCAAAACACAACGTGGAGAGAGAACAGAGGGAGACTGAGGGGAGGGGAGGGATAGCTGCATTTTTTTTGGTTTTGTTTTTCTTTTAAGTTTTAATCTTTTTTTTTCTCTAAAACACTTATTTTTGTTTATAAACCCACGTGTCGTTATCTTATTGAATATGTGGAGTCCACATATGTGTCACGTTAGTAATTTAACAGAAAATTAAACGGAAGCTAACGACAGGGCAGATTTGATGTACGAAGAATAACCTTAAGAATTATTAATGTCACAAAAAAAACTTTCAGAACGAAAGGTGATAATTTTGTTAACCTCAGGGATCATTTGCGATAAAAACCTTTAAAAAAAAAGGGACGAAAATGAAGCTAAGTGCCACGATGCTACAGAATTCGAAGTTCGGGTGTGACATTGCTATTCTTTTTCCTTCTAGGTGGTAATTGAACGCATCACTACTATTTCAATCGATGTTTGTACACTTCTCCCAAATCAATATATCAACCATTATACTTTTGTTTTTTGAGAATCATTATCGGGAAATTAAATTGGTACGTGCTCTCTCTTATAAAAGAGCAATTTTACTGTAACATAAAATCACTATTAAGGGCAGTCAATTTAAAAATAATTCATTTGCTCTATGCATGACATAAGTTCCCCAATGTCTAATAAAGATTTTTGTGTCCTGAAAATTAAGAATATAATGTCAACCGAGTCTTTCAACACACCATTGTGCTGTGAGCTAAAGAGCATCAATATCGAAGTTAGATTTAGAGTATGAAAATGAAAAAGTAAGGTTCTGAGAGCATATAATGAGGTGTATGTTAAATATACACCATTTGTGATCAGAATCACCCACTATGGAGAGGTGTAAATGAGTGTAAATTTGCATCACCACAATGAGATGCAAATTTAGATGCACATATACATTTTTTTTTTTTTTACATTTCTTGTAGGTGAGACCTACATGAGAAAATGTGAGAAAAAGTGAAACCTACATCAGAAAAGGTGAAAGAAATCAATTATACATCTTTAGATCTACATTTTCCCCACTGGAGCAAAAATCACATTTATAACCTCCGGAGGTGTAAAGGGGATGTAAAAGTGACTTTACACTCCCTAATTTACACCTCCCCACATGGATGCTCAGAGCATCCACAGTGGGAGGGTGTATTTTCAGATGTAAATATTAAGATGTATATTTGATTTTCTTGTGTTATTTTGTTGTGTGTGTGTGTTAACATTTTGAAATTAATTTTGTGTGTGTTAAATTAATTTTATTTTTCTAAACAAATAAACCTAAAAATATTTAAATTTGGATAAGTTATGAAGAGTGGTGATTTTTGTGAACAAAGGTTGTGCTTATATATAGAAAATTAGAAGGAAAAAAATTTGGCCTTTTTTCCCATCAATTTCAGACAATTAGATGATTTTGGGGTATGTTTAGAAATTGTTTGGCCTTTAGATTAATGATTTTGGTGTTTGTGAAAAATTAGAGCCGTAGGATGTTTTATCTGTTGGAGCACCAATTCAAATGCCAGTAAATCAAGCGCACTAAGCCACAACTGGGGCCCGAACTAAGTTATGTTGGGGGACTGAAGTTGAATTTGTGAGTTTGGGGCGTGTAATTCCAAAAACTTCGCGACTCTTCTCTCTTCTCTCTCCTCCTTTATCAGTCGTGGGATCCGCTTATGGGATGTAAAAAAAGATGTAAACTCCCATCTTTTTTTTTGCATATCAGCTTGAGAATGCAAATGTACAACCATTTACATACGACCATTGGAGCTTATTCTGGCGATAGGGGGTGTAAATTTGATATACAGCCCCTTTTACATGCGACCACTATAGATGCTCTTAGTTCATGGAATAGTTGCCTTCTACATTTGATGGAGTTTGGCTTTTATATAACCTCTGGGTGGCTAGTTTCTCGCCATTGTGGGCGACATGGTGTGTGTTTGTCAGTCGAGACCCATTATTTTGGCCATTGTGTTCATTAGGGGTTTGATTTGGGCTGTGAGATAATTAATGGGTTTAATACACGTGATATTCTAGCCATTATTCACATAGCAGTAATTGTCACCTATGAGTGGACATGATTAAATGGGTGCCTATAATCCAAGCGATGAAGAAATTATAGAGTGATACGTTATCACCACGTTAGCTGGTGATACTCCTGCTCAAAATGAAACATGTATCAATTTTAAAAGAAAATTAAAAAACAATTATACCTGGACCTTGTCTTCCAAGTTTACCCTTCAACATTAATTAGACCTAACCCATCTCCCACTGTCTTCTCTGTGCTTCGCTTTTCCCTCACCACCAAGCTGTCTTCTCTTTTCCCTCGCCACCCACCCCAGCCTTCCTCTCCCTTCTCATCCAACATCTCCAACCCCTTTTTCCCTCCCTCTCAATCTCAGTAAAAAAGTTAAATGCATTAAGAACTTGAATATATATAAATGCAAATAAAAAATCTTCAAAAGCATCTCCTATGATGATAAGTTGACAACTCACTACTGAAAGAAAGGTAATGATGGATGTTATGGGCAACCAAGTAAATCAGATTTTTTTCATTTTTTTGTTAATTTTATCAACCACTTTTTGGGTGGTGTTGTTTGATGTTGGTATTCATAGAGGCAGGGACGGATCCATGAATTCAAAATGGTATGGGCTGAATTTACCTTACAATAAAACTTGACGGCACGAGTGAATTTAATTAATAACAAAAAATAATACACCTAGTCAGGGGGGGACATAATGAGCCGTACCCCTCAAAATGTATATAGTACATAAGATAGAAACTAGTAAACAAAGGCAACAATAAATAAATATGCAATGCAAACACAAAATAAAACTATTTAAGTTGCACCCTTCGAGACTTCAAAGTGTTAAAATCACTAATTAGTGATTCATTATCAATACCATCAACAAATTCTTTTCAATGTGAAGTAACATACAATCAGCAAGAAACTCATCCTCGATCTTGTTCCGAAGTCGATTTTTGATAAGTCTCATAGATGAAAATGCACGTTATGTTTTTGCTGTAGAAACAGGAAGAGTTAACACCAAACGAATCAATCTATCAACCAAATGGTAGGTGTGTGCTAACCCTGTGTCAAGTAAACACTTCAGCAATTCATGAATGGAATCGAGATTCTTGAAGGCTGGAAGACGGTCCATATCAATCTTATAAAATCCCAATTGTTGATTTAAAGCCTGCAACTCAGTTGTAGTAAAATCTCCAGGATAAAACTTCTCAGCAAGATTACATATATCATCAATGCTAAATCGCTTGAAAGAATTACGAGGATCCAATGCTGAGGTCAGATAAAGAAGTTCCATCGTTTGCTCCGGAAATCTAGTATTTAACTCCACCAACTGAAAATCTATTACATCATTAAATACATCAATGCGATAATAATGCTCAAATGTAATAGAATCCTTTTGTTGACAAGAACGACCTCTACCCATTTTATGACGGGCACTCATATCAGGTACACAAATGTCATGTTGTTCACAAAATGATAGCACACTCTTGATAAAATCATCCCAACCATTATTTCTCAACTCATCTAGCTTCATTTTTGTACTTGAAACAAGATTTAAAGCACTTACAATGTCTTGAGATTTGCTTTGAAGTGCTTGACAAAGAAAATCTGTAAATCCCATAGTTTTGTCCAACAAAAGTAAGGCAAAGGCAAAATCAAATGACATCATCGAAATATAAATACTCTCAGCTTCCCCACGAAATTGTGAGCTAGGTTCATTATGACCTATTTCGTCAAGAAGTATCTTGGTTGCACCAAATAAATCAATCAAACTCCTAATAGAACTAATATGAGAGCCCCAACGAGTAGTTCCAGGTCGTTGCAAACAACGAATTTGCTTAACCCCTCTACCTGTTCCAAGTTTTCCAGCATCTAACAACTCTTGAATTTCAGCTTTTCTAGTCAATTTCAACTTAGAATGACGCTTGGCGGAAGAACTAACAAAATTCACAATGTTATTCAACATTGAAAAGAATCTCCAAATGACTCCCACATCTTTAGCTGCAGCATTTAAAGCTAGTTGGAGACGATGGGCAAAGCAATGTATATAATATGCATATGGACAATCATTAAGAAACAATGCTTGTAAGCCACTCAATTGACCATGCATATTGCTAACCCCATCATATCCTTGCCCACACATATTTTTAACTAGAAGATTATGTCTACCAAACACTTTACAAATCTTAGTTTTAAGAGTGGATGAATTAGTGTCATGAACACTTACAATATCAAAAAACTGTTCTTGAATAAATCCATCATGACCAACAAATCTTAGAATAATAGCCATTTGTTCCCTTTGAGATTCATCAAGAGCTTCATCAACAAGAATACAAAATTTTCCATCCTCCCCAACATCTTCACGAATCTTCTTCCTCACTTTGTTGGCAAAAATATGTAGGATCTCCTTTTGTATCATTGGTGCAATATACTTAGCATTTCCAGGAGCATTCTCTAAGACGACTTTTTCAACATCTACATTCATTCTTGAAAAAGCTTTTATCAACTCAATGAAATTACCACAATTTGACAAGTCATAAGATTTGTCACCACCTCTAAAAGCCATCCCTTGATTTGCAAGATACCTAATAGCCTCTATTGTGGTTGTAAGTCTCAACCGATTTTTTCTCACATCTTCCGGTGATTACACCACTCTATCAATATGTTGAGCAGGGTTCCTTAATCCATCCACTTTTGCATAGCCATATGATGTGGGGAATTTATATTGCCTACATGAGCAAGGAAAGCACATTTATTCCCACCAACTCGCTTCCAATTTTTAAACCCATCTATCGTGAATGCCTTGTGTGAGTGATCAATATCAAAAAGAAAGCATGGAAAACAAAACCCCTTATCTTCATTAATAGAATACTCAAGCCAAGAGAAATGTTTGAACCAACATTGCTGAAATTGACGATTTTGATTCCCAACATTGCTGAAATTGACGATTTTGATTCCCATCTAAGTGGCATGGATATATTCCTAATGTGGGTTGACATGGTCCTAAGTAAATATATGATCTTCGAACATTATCACGTTCATTAATTGGATATGTGCATATTTGGCGACGTAATCCCAGATCACGTTCAAGAGAATTAGTATCCACTGCTTGATCACAATTGACTCTTTCAGACTCGACTCCTCTAACAATTTGAGGCTCGAAAGGAGGTTGCTCTCCAAAAATTGGAGGAGATGACAAGGGAATGCTACTTGATGATGATCCATCATTCTTTTTCTTAAAAAAATGCAAAATATTCTTTATTCTCTTAGGATTTCGATGATGATTTGACATTATCGAGTATAACCTATGAATAATGTATAGAACATGTAATCTTATCAAAAATCAATATCTAGTTCTAGTACTGGTAAGCTAAAACAAACAGAGTTCCAATTTAATTAAATGCCAGAAATGGAATAAAATCCCAAACATATATGATATGAGGTTAAAAATCCCCAAATTCAAAAATCGTTCTTACTCCTAATTTCAAGAAAAAATATTCAAAATTTTAACAAAATCTTTAGTTATGGGTTTTACCTCAACAAACAAAGAAGAGAAGGTTTTGGCTTTGTAACTTGCTGCGATGCCCTTTTTTGCTGTACCTCAGTCGCACAGTCGCACACCCGTCAATTTGCTTCTCTTGGGGAATGAAGTTTTGCTCTCTGTCTGTCTATTTCTCTTAGTCACTAAGTTTGACTAAGGTTTGATGTGTGGGCTGGGCTTTGCTTTCAACTTTGGGATGGGCTATCTCCACTAAGTTTTGTTTCTCCCTTAAGAATACTACATGGTATTACATATAAAAAAAAATATTCGTCTGGGCTATAGCCCAGACAGCCCATTACTTAGATCCGTCCCTGCATAGAGGGGGACTGCAGCCAAGGGGCGGCAGTGAGTGAAAGGCAGATTGCCAATGGGATCTGGGTGGGACACTGCTACACTCTTGTTTTCTTTTTCATGTTTTTTATTTTATTTTTAATTTAGGGTAAAGTTGGAAGACAAAGTACAACTATGAAAAAAATGTAAATATTTTTTAAAATTTGACACGTGTTAGATTTTGAGTGGGAGTATCACCCGCTGAAGTGGTGATATTGTATCACTCTATAATTTCTCCAAGCGATGACCTTGTTCGACCTTTCCTTATTTGGTTGCAATGGAGTTTTAATATGTGATTAGATGAAGATCCCATTCCCGTGCCTACTTACGGCAGTTTTGTCTATTTTTTCTAGTTCTTGTCCACATGTAATTTTTTCATTGACGTGTGAAATCTTGCTCCCACAAATGCCCCCGTCTCTTCCAATTCTTAGAGTGCCATGATGTCGTGGATTTGAAAGATACGTAGCACTGTGCCTTTTAAGATGTATGTGCTGCCAATTTTATTGGACTGCGATATCGTTTGCAATATTGCCCTAAAAGACACCACGCTTATTTAAAGAAGTAGGTCTTATCTAAGAGTCTCCAAGTTGTTGTACATTTGAAGACTGATTTCTTTACTTTCTTGAAAATCCCCCAAACACTTGATTGTTGTTATACAGTTGGGTCCTCGCGAAGGGAGAGAAAAATAAAATAAAAACCCTAGACTAAGGAATTCTAAACGAGGGCGGCATCGTCCCTTTTCTCCCCTCCTATCCCTCTCCCCCTTCCTCCTCCTCTCCTTCTAATTGCTCCTCCCCTCTCTCTTTGCTTTGTTTGGTTTTGTGTTTTTAATTTGTAGATTAGAGTTTTCAGATCTACTTTGGATATGTGTGGTTCCTCTCCTTGAATTTTTTGCACGAAGGACCGGTGTTTTGGCAGCTCTGATGTCCTAGATACTCTATTTTCTAGTTTGGTGGTCATTGACAGGGTGCGGTTGTGTGTGCCCTGTGTTGGTCTTTGGCTATTATGGAATTCGAGGAACAAAATACTTTTTGTTTTTGAACCAATGCCCGAGGAGAGAAGTCTTATCTCTGCAAAGAACTATGATGCTGAATTTCAACATTCCCATTTGCTTCATTATAGGAGTCCTTATTTGTTAGTTCATGAACGGTGTTGGCGATGGTACCCACTATAGGATTGTTATTGTTGGTGTGATGGATTTGTTTGTGTGAGTTTGATTCTTTCATTAGTCGAAAGTATGGGTGATATTTTTTTCTCCTCCAAGGTTTTGTCTCATGTGAATTCTTGTGGGAAGGTTTTAAGAAGCCGCAGTTAACATGTTGGTTCTATAAAAATAAAAAAAAGACCCAGTTCTTTTTCTTCTCTAACTTTCTATCGAAAGAAAATCCTCCTATTTTTTTTCTTCTAAAGATTCATTTAGAAAGATGTCGCCAAAAAAATCATTCCCCAAACCTAATGAATATTGAGATTCAAACTTCGAGTTAGGAGGTAAGTGTCCTCCATGGGCTACCCTTTTTCTTTTCCCCAATCCTGCTAATTGGGAGAAAGATGAAATTCCAGAGCATTCATCGTTTAGAATTATGATGCTTTCCCACAAGAGTAGAGATTCATTGGTGCGCTGATTTACTATCTAGGTTGTATGCGTAGAGGCGGGGTGGGGGCATAACATTCCATGCTCTCTCTTCATCCTTCTTGGTTTCAAGTTTCCTTGTTGTTCGGTGAAATTTTTTAATACTATTAGGTGAACTTCTGCACAATGCTCCCCAAATATGTATAGGGTTAGTCTATGTGTAGAGGTTATTAGTTGAATCTTTGATTTAAGTCTTAGAGATGTTGAGATCTTCTCAATGTATGCGGTAAGAAAGCTTGGTTAGGGTTGGGTAAAAGCTTATCCTTGGTCTATTGTTCGTCTGAAGACCAATTTTTAAGAAAAATGATACCTTCAAGGTCTATGGCCATTGTAGGGTGATTGCTAACACCATTTTCTATCTAAGGCTTGTTAGAGTTTGTATAGGAAAATACACTTGCATGTAGTTCCACATTGGAAGAGAGTAGTTTTCTTCCATAGTTTATAAGCACCAATACATTAGAATTACTAAATAGAGTATGGGCCTAGTGGAGGCAAACTTGAGCCTCAACATGGTTTGAGCTTGGATTATATATATATTTGTGTAATAAATATATATATAATTAATTGTCAAAAGATGGGCCTTGGGCCTTGGGGCTCTTGGGCTCTGTTGATTTAATTAATAATTTATTTTATTAATTGAAAATTCGGTTTTTTCAAATAAAACAGTTAACATAACTGTTGGATGAAGAGGTGTCAGACCTCTATATAATGACAATACGATCAAACCAGATAAATACCTTTGAACTGCATCATCATTCTCACATTTTACACTTCCTGAGAGAATTCATACCACTGTTCGCCAGAAATCAAAGCCACTGTGCTTAGGCTTAGATTTAAGATAGTTTAATCCTGGTGGACAGACTCCTATCGAACTACAAGCACAAGGGTAGAGGAGAAATACTGTCTAAAGGACACTGCAAATTTGCAGGACTCTATCTACAATTCAAGTCAGTATACTACAATCTATATTATTGTTGTATTGATTCAATTATATCTATATAAAATATATTCGTTGGTTTTATTATTCTGTTATTTTGGTTTTATATTGATTGTTTTCCAACAATCTTTAGACAGTATTATGGAACAATCAGGAAGTAAGACCTCTCATGCCGAAAAGCCTGAGAAATTCAAAGGCACTGACTTCAAACGTTGGCAACAGAAGATGTTGTTCTATCTAACAACATTAAATCTAGCCCACATTCTCAGACAGGATGCCCCTGTGTCGAATAAGGATCCTGCAACCAAAGAGACTGTCGCTGCAATTGATGCATGGACACAATCTGATTTTCTGTGCAGGAACTATATCTTGAATGGACTTGATGATGCACTGTATGATGTCTATGCAGCATTCAAGACGGCTAGAGAAGTTTGGGAATCTCTTGAGAAAAAATATAAAACTGAAGATGCAGGATCCAAGAAATTTGTTGTAGGCAGATTTCTGGATTTCAAGATGGTAGATTCCAAACCTGTTGTCAAACAAGTTGAAAACCTCCAGAAAATTATCCATGAGATTCTTGCTGAAGGCATGAAGATCAATGAATCTTTCCAAGTGGCGTCCTTGATTGAAAAACTCCCACCAAATTGGAAAGAATTCAAGAGTTATTTGAAGCACAAGAGAAAGGAGATGAGTATGGAGGATCTCATTGTTAGGCTTCGGATTGAGGAGGATAACAGAATAAGTGAGAACAAGAATGTGGTTTCAAACATGGAAGCCAAGGCAAACATAGTTGAAGGAACCTCAGCAAAACCAAAATTCAATCCCAAAATGAACAAGAAGAACTTTGTTCCTGGAGCAAAAGGAAAAGACTTCAAAAAGATTAAAGGAGCATGCTGGGTCTGTGGGAAAACAGGCCATAAGGCTCAAGACTGCAGGCATAGAAGGAATCAGAATCCTGCCAATCCTGCCAATCCTGCAAATCCAAACTACAACAGGCCAAGGAACAATCAGGCCAATGTGACTGAAGAAAACTTGGCTGCAGTGGTGTCAGAAACCAACATGGTTTCGAATGACAATGAGTGGCTGATTGATACTGGAGCCACCCGCCATATCTGTGGTGATAAGAAT